ATTCCATGTGCACTTGAAAAGAATGTTTTTGGAGTGAAATGTTCTATGAATATCAATTAGTTCAAGTTAATTGATAGTGTCTTTTAAATCTTAAGTACAAAATTTTACTGATTTCCTGCTTATTTCTATCCATTAATGAAAAACTTACTGCAATTTCCAATTGTAATTTTTCTATTTATTAGAAACATGTTTTGAAAAACAAAGTAGAATGAAGGAACAAGGAACATCTGTGCATTGGAAAAATAATTGAAAGATACAAAAGAAGCAGATACAGTAAACTGTTGGCTTTCTTTGACTACCAGGCATTTGTATTTCTTCTATGTAAAATTTTCAAGTAATTGCTCATTTTTGTAATAGGATGTTTGTATTTTTATTGAAATGTTAGAGCAAATAATATATAAAGTATCTATGGTGATCATATAACCTGCTAAATGTTGATATTTAGTAAAATTCTTGATTCATATATATTGACTTAGTAAAGTGATTTCACTGAACTTTCTGAATTTTAATATATTATTGATTCTATCAGGTTTTCTTTAGTCTAAATTGGGTTTTTAATCACACAATATGCATAAAGAGATAATTTAATTTCTGCCTTTTCAATAGTTATGTTTCTTTTTTTTCTGTTTTCTTCATTATTACATTGGCCAGATCTTCCCAAACAATGTTAAATTGTGGTAATGACTACATGATGGATATGCTTGTCTATTATCAGCCTATAATGGGATTAGCTCATATTTCAATATCAACTGAATGATTTCAGTTTACTTTCAGATTGAGGTTTGCTTTCAATAAATAACTAGTTTTTTCCTAGTAGTTTACTGGGTTTTATGAGGAGTGGATGTTGGATTTTATAAAGTGACTTTTTTCAGCATCTATTAGGATTTATTTTGAATTATGAACATGACAAATTACAATATTTACTAATCATTACATTGTGTGAATAAGATCAAGTTAGTGATAGTTGATTGTTATTTTATTGTAGTGTTGTTTTATTCTATTTAGTAATTTTACATATGAAATGTGTCATTTTATTATTTTTCTTTTAATGTTGAACTATTTTTGTTATGGTTTAGTATCAGAATCATAAACAGCAGTTTCATAGAACAAATTTAGACTGTTTCTATATTTATCATATTCTGAAAAGGTTTATATAAGTATGTAAATCTCTTCATTTCAAGTTTGAAAGAACTCATCTATAAAAAGAATTTGGGCACAAAGACTATATGTGGGTTAATTTTTTCTTAAGTGGTATTCATTTTCTTCTGTAGTTATAGCTTCACTCAAATTTCCACCACTTTTTGAGTACTTTTAATATTTATGTGCTTTAGTAAAACACATTCTTTGAAATGGGAGTGCCATTTGCTGAGTAAGTCTGAAAGTGGAAAACATTCAGAAATGTTATTTTTCTGTTTCTTGTCTTAAATAGATTTTCGTTAGTTCCATTTGTTTTGAATTTCTTTATTCCTCTACATACGATAGCAGGATTTCCACATTATATTCTTTTTTTTTTTTCAAATTTTCATTACATCTGTGTGCCAGATCTTGGTTCATCCTTTAATGTTTCACCTTTCAGTGCAATTTTGTTTCAGATGTGTCTTTTCAAATTAACATCAAGTTATGTATTTTTTAACTTTTTATTGAAGTTAAGAAACATACAAAAATACACACTGTGTAAATGTTAGAGCTCAATTATCACAAAATGAGTTCACCCATACAGTCATCTTCCAGGTCAAGATACAATATTACCACCACCCTAGAAGTTTTTGTTTCCTCCTAATCTCTACCTCCCCAAGTGTATTAGCTTGACTTTCAAGATCATAGTTAGTATGACCTTATTTTGTACTTTCATATGTAAAATTTGAAGTATTTTTTGTGCATATTATTATTTTCACTCAACATTTTGTATGTGAGATTCATCTGTTTAGGTGCCTAGTGCTAGACTTTTGTTAGTTTCATTGTTGTTTGGTATTTCATTGAATGAATGTATCATAAACTTATTTATATATTCTGCTATTAATTGACAGTTTATTTGAGTTTGGAGCTATTATGAATAATGTTCCACTGAACATCCTAGTGCATGTATTTGGTGCAAATATTCATTCATTACATGCCTGTTGGATTATACCTGGGAGTGAAATATATGTGTGTGTGTAATATAGTAATTAATATAGTCACCAATTCTTGGCTTTGTCTGTTTTTATTTCATTTAAAAATTTTTTATTTTGCTTTAGTGATATTCTGATAATGTATTCTAATATCCCTATGTTTTAAATATGCATTTCATGGGTTTCTAATGAGGCTGAACTTTTTTCATATATGTGTTAGCATTTGGATATCCTCATTTATGAAGTGCTTGTCCATGTATTTTGCCATGATTCCAATTGCATTTTTTTTCTAAGCAACATGAAGAGGTTATATATGTAATATTTCCATGATAATATACATATCCATATTTTTTCAGATATTATGTATTGTAAATATGTTTTCACATTCTTTGATTTGCCTTTACTCCTTCTAAATATGGTGTATTTTGATGATTGGGAGTTCTTGGTTTTAATTTATCAATTTTTAATGGTTGCTGCTTTTGATATTCTGTCTAAGAAATCTTCACATACCTCAAGGTCATGAAGTTATTCTATATTACCATCCAGAAGCTTGTTAGGGTGCCAGACAGAACACAGTGGAGTGTACCATTTTCTCCTTCTTTAAAAAATTGGATGTTGAATCACATCACACAAAATCCAGCAATCACAAATAACTTCAGTGCTTATTACTCATGCATACACAGGCAAAATGAAAGAATTCCCTGGGTGAACAGCAACTGTGTCTCACCAGCAAGAATTTGTTCTTGAATGTCTGAAAGAGGAGATGGAAGAGGGGGAGTGAGGTCATGGGGGGAAAGATAAAGAAGTTAATAATATATTTGTCTACATGGGATATGCCTACAGTATAAACTGAAATAGTGACATTGGATAGGAAAAGGGAAATTAAGACGTGGAAGAGGTAAAATCAGCCAGTATTGGTGTCTAACTGGTTTTAGAGGTTGAAGCTGTCCGGGATGATTTCAAAGATTCTGAATTAGGTAACTAGGCTTTAGGAACTGAGATAGAAGATATAGAAAAAGATTTCTCTAGAAGGAGAAATAATTTTATTGAGTTTTATGTGTTTTTTATTTGAATTGTCTTTGGGACTTTGGGATAGAGAAGTCTGATGATTAGCTGGAAATATAATTTTGAAGCTAAAAAACCAGCACTAGAGACAAAAGATTAGGAACTCATTGTTGTGTAAATAATTTTGTTGGTACTTGGAGAATTCCACAAAGAATGACTTGAAAACAAGTGAATTAAGATATCAATAAGATATATTTTTAAATAGATTAGAGTAAATAAGTGAAAAGACACCTTGACATAAGGGAAGACCTTCTAGTAGTAATAGAATTGATAATTAAAAAATTGGATAAGTTGGCATATACGAAAAATAAATTTGTCCGTCAGGAATTGAGTTGGTAAGTCATGGAAGCATAGGAAGAGTCACGAAACCAAATTTTGATAGCTCCCATCTTCAAGGGCCTTAGGACCACTGACTTAATTGGCTGATCCCAAGGTCTGTTGTAATCATTCTCAGTTTTTTGTCATATCATGTGTCTTAGCCTTAAAACCAGAATAAACCCCAAGCCATGAAAATAATGTCATGTTATATTATATGTTGTCTTTTTTTAAAGATTTTTATTTATTTATTTGAGAGAGAGAGAGTGAGAGAGGGGTGAGGGACAGAATGAGAAGCAGACTCCCTGCTGAGCAGGAACCCCCCCCCCCCCAGGTCCTGACCCTAGCCGAAGGCAGACGCTTAACCAACTGAGCCACTCAGGTGCCCCAAATGTGTTGTCTTTAAAAAGCAACACCTCTATCTTTTCTAAGCTTTCATCACTTTTGGCCAGCTGTATGTTTCTGTTTTTTGTGAGGTTTCTTTCTTTAGTTCATTTTTAAATCCTAAACATAACTAGTGTGATTACATAGGAATAAAATAAAAAGAGAAGAGAACTGGTGATAGAACACTGAGGACTACATTGAGGTTAGAGGAAAAGAAAATAATTTAATGAAGGCCTGGAGAGAAATGAGAGAATGGAGAGAACCATAATATAAAGAAATAAGGCACATGAACAAAGACATTAGTTTTAAAAGGTAGTAGTCACAGTTTCAAAAACTACAATGGTGACAAATAAGAACAAGAATAAAAGTATGCAATGAACTTTCAACTAGAATTATGGACTATTGGAAATAAGCTAAAAATAATGATAGGTATTGAATCTAAATTGAAAACCAACATTTCAGAAGAACTTCTTTTTCACTTTTTTTCTAAGATTCTCTTATTTCATGCAACAAACTTACCATAGATTTTGTTTTGTTTTGTTTTGTTTTGTTTGTTTTACTAAAGCTATTATTAAAAGAGTACCAAAAATGGCTATTACCTTTTATTATGTCTTGGGCAATGTTATACATTTTGCATCTTAGTTTTTAGCTCAATAAATTAAATATTTATTTATTTTACAGATAGATAAATGAGGTTTAGAAAGTTTAATTCAAAAGTTACACAGAGCAAATGGCTTGGATTTAACATAAAGCCCATGCTCTAGTCACTACAGTTTGTTGTATTAATTAGGGATATTAATATCCCTATCGGGATCTCTTCTGAACTCTCTTCGCTATTTTATTAACAGGCATTATTTGCTCAAGAGGAAAAAAAAAAAACCTCTAGGAAATGAAAGAGAAGATAGTGGAGAAACTCAAATGGTGATAATTTTTTCAACTTCATCTATATCTGAATTTTGAGACACGCTATAATATTTGGGAATTAACAGTGAGGAAATAAGATAGAAGCTAGAAACTATGAAGGACTATTTATTTTAAAATATTCATTGTCCAGTGAATCCATCTAAAATACTCGCAAATATCCCACAAGCCAGCTGCTTTCAAAAAGACCTCTACCACTAGCACAAGATGGTACCATTGGCATATTATGATCAACGCTTTGTGCCATTAGAACACTCTTACCAACTGGCCACAACCAATTCATTAACACATCAATACGCAGGTGAAAAACTAAATCAATCCAATAACAAGCCGGTGGTCAGAGTGCAGTCTCCTAGGAATCACCTTGCAGCACTTCCAGGTATCTCTAAGCAGATGGTGCAGAGCTGCTCAGTATTGTCCTCTGCCAAGTCTCAGGACACAATTTCACAGGGCTTCTATAGCAAGGTTCTGAAAGCACCAGTATCCCAGTCCAAACGTCAGGCCACACCTTTACTAGACCTCCACCAGAGAACTTCACTGTGGCCTAATCTGAGAGCCCTGAGCTCATCTGGGATACATCATAAACCTCAGACAACATCTTCCCTTGACCTTAATAAGACATCTTCATCACTGGAGTCCAGCCAAACAAATTTGAGCTCACAATTACCCCTCCCCAAACCTCAGACTACATCTTCACTAGACTTTTGCTGGACATCACCTTCACAGAAGTCTAATCAAAGAGTCTCAAGTTCATCATTATTCCCCTCCAAACATCAAGAAACACCTCCCCTAAACATCCTCTGGACATCATCTTCTTCGGGATCTAATCAAAGAGTGCTTAGCTCAACATTACCACAAGCCAAGCCTCAGAAAGCATCATCATTGGATAGCCTTTGGACATCTTTATTAGAGCACAATCAAAGATCTTTGAGCTCACCATCACTCAACTCTACACCTCAAATAAATGACTTACTTCAGTCATCACGTTCATTGGAATCCAATCAAATGGCTCTGAGCTCACCGTTACCTGACTCTAGACCTCAGACACCACCTGCACCGAATTGTAGTTCCTGTGTTCTGAGCTTACCATTGTCCCACTCAAAACCAAGGAAATCACCTTTGGCACATTCTGTCCGCCAGACTCAGAGTTTGCCATTGTTCTCACCCAAATCTCAGAAGGTGCTTACACTTAATCACGACTTCAGGACCCTGAGCTCACCAGTTTGTCACTCCAACTTTCAGAACACCTCTTCACCAAATGACAAACAGAAAGCCACAGATTTATCTTCACCGCATTCTAAGCCAAATGTCTCAGGTCCATCATTATCAAGCTCCAAACAATTTATCAGAAATATAGCTGCTTCAACACTGGGCTCCAGATTCCAGAATAAAAGCAGCTTTGATCTTTGTGCAAAGACAAAATCAAATAAAGAAATTCCATGGAGCTTAAATTACATTTATCCCTGCATTGTTAAAGGTGGAACTGTCCCTGATGATGTCCTCAATAAAATTGTCAATTCTATCTCCAAGACCAGAATCCAGAAGGATCTCTGTAGGCAGGTTCTCTTTCGAAGGATGAGGGGAAGGCCAAATCCTTATCCTGGTCCCCGCCTTTCATCAAATTATGTGGTTTGTTTAGCTTGTGCTTCCTGCATAAAATCTCAGTGTAACCATCTTACAGGAAGGAAAGACCCTCGCAGTGCAACGCTGTTTGTCATACCAACACCTGAACTTGGTTCTGAGGGAGAAATGGAAGTGAAATTAGTTTTTCTCCTTTCCCTACCAGAGACTTCTCTCTCTTCTTGTTTCCCATCCCCTGTGAAAGAAAATCGGCCTGATGAAGCTCCTGAAGCCAACCTTGAGGGAATGGAGAAGATACAAATTTTCTCTCCATCTGAACCTGAAATCACACGAGAGCTAAATAACAAATGGCGGACAGCAGCCGCTGTAAACAAAGTTGTAAGCCAACAACCCCAGGCTATTGACTGGCTGCTTTATGTTAAGAAAAGTGGTCATTTTCAGCCACCGTCCCTGCCTCAGTCTTCTTCCTCCTCCACGTCCTCCTCCTCCTCCTCCTCCTCCTCATCTTCTTCCTCCTCCTCTTCTTCCACCCCACCTTCCTTACCCCCTCCTTCCAAAGAGTCTACCACATCTGCTCTCTCAGGTTGTGTATTCACTCAGGTACTTAGTTACCACCGGTTGCCTCCAGGAGTCTCCTGGCTTGAGTTTATATGTAGTAAAAATCACCAGCTACTTCCTGGAAAACCACGACAGAGTCAATCACGACCTCCCAAAACAAGGCCTATGAGGAATAGCACCACAGTAAAAGGGCCAAAGGGACCAAAGATACTGTTCAAATTTTTCCAGACAGTTTCAAAATGAGAGAGATATTAATTAAATTAATTTTTGTTTTTTTGAAAGCAATTGACCTCTTATCTTAGTTCTTTGAAATTAGAGATTGATTTCCTATCATGCTTATTAAAATTCTTAGTAATAACTAAGTGTGACTGTATATTTTAGCTGATGAAGCACCTAGTTAAGGGGAACTAATACTCTTAAGTCTGTTTTCTAGTTAAATAATAGACTATGATCTCCTAGACAGCAAAAACTGAATTCCAGGTTTTAACCAAATGCCTGGCTTATAGTAGCCACTGTATAATCATTGTCACATGAATTAATCATAATTGGCCATAAACCAGAAATACCTCATCTGTCTTGTCCTGAACAGTATCTAGCTCATTGTTATTCTCCTTCCTCATAAAACATGATAATGACAGTATCCATAAGGCAACTTATGCTAATCTGTTTCCCTATCTCTGAAGAAAATTCATATCATGTTCAACAGGTAAGAATGTATATAGAGAGGAATCTTTTCTCTAGTTATGTGAATCTCTTTCTAGTTATGTGTTCCTAGGGAAAATTCTTCTATGCTAAGATCCCACACTCTGAAATCCAATGACTTATTCAACCTTAGTTAACGAATCTCAGGAGAGAAGAACTTACCAGTACAAACAACCCTACCTATTGTCTGTGCCAATATTTAAATTATAGGCTCTGAATATTACCTGTTCAACACTTCTATCTATACATCCAAAATGGGTTAATAAAAATGTTTCAAAAATGTTTTTGTTCCACTGGGTCTACTGGTAGTGGGAAGAGAAGGAAGTTAATTGTCTTAGATAAGACAGTAGATACTCACCTTCAGTGATCATCTCAATCCCTAAGGACTAGAATTAGTATCTCTTGCATGCACTGATGACTTGTAATTCTGCTCCACCAATATCTTTCTGACTGTACACTGGACATTTCCAGTTGGAACGTTGCATAGGCATCTCAGACTCAACATGATAAAGCCAGAATTACTGTCTTTACATTTATAATTTGGATCATTACATTTACAAGCCTTTGCCCCTAGTGTTCCTATTTCAGTGGATGTACCACCATTCATCGTGGAGTCATGTTTGACTGTTTTTCTCATTGCCTGCCCCTCTTTAAGTCCATGAGTTCTATGATAGCCTTTTTATCCCTAGAATCCAGCTTTTTTTCTCCAACCCCATCACCTCTATCCTAGTTATGATCATGACCGTTTGTCACCTGGATTACTGCAATAACTCCTAAATGTGCACTTCTAACTTTTGAATACATTTGTAAGACACAAATTTGATAATGCCATTCCACTGCTTAGAATCCTTTCATTATTGCCCAATGTTTTCTTGGGAAAGTCTAAATTTTTCTTGTAATTGAACTATGATAACCTCTCAAAACTTATTTCTTGTTCTTCTCCAGCTACAGCCATACCAATTGCTCTAAAATGCACAGAATGTGCCAAGGTCTCTGTTATATCCTACACTTCTTTCGTTTATCATTTTATTCTATTTCTTTTTTTTCTTTTTTTTTTTTTAATGTTAGATGTACTCTTTAATCCTCATCCCCTATTTCCTTTATCCCCCCCTTCCCTCCTCTCTGGTAACCATCAGTTTGTTCTCTTATAGTTAAGTCTGTTTCTTGGTTTGTCTCTGCCTTTCTCTTTTTCTTTTCCTTTGCTTATTTGTTTTGTATCTTAAATTCCACATATGAGTGAGATCATATAGTATTTGCCTTTCTCTCACTGACTTATTTCATTCACTTAGCATTATACTCTCTAGCTCTGTCCATGTTGTTGCAAATGGTAAGATTTCAATCTTTTTATGGCTGAATAATATTCCATTACAATATACAATGGAATATTATATATCTATATATCTATATCACAATCTTCTTTATCCATTCATCTGTTGATGGATACTTTGGCTGCTTCCATATTTTTGTTATTGCAAAATTTACTACAGTAAACATAGGGGTGTGTATCTTCCTTTGAATCAGTGTTTTTGTATTTTTTGGGTAAGTACCCAGTAGTGCGATTCCTGGATCATAGGGTAGTTTAATTTTTAATTTTTTGAGGAACTTCCATACTGTTTTCTACAATGGTTGTACCAGTTTGCATTCCCACCAACAGTGTACTAGAGTTCCCCTTTCTCCACATCCTCGCCAGCACTTGTTGTTTCTTATGTTTTCTATTTTAGCCATTCTGACAGGTGTGAGGTTATATCTCATTATAGTTTTAATTTGCATTTCTCTGATGACGAGTAATGTTGAGCATCTTTTCATGTGACTGTTGGCCAGTTTTATGTCTTCTTTGGAGAAATGTCTCTTCATGTCTTCTGCCCATTTTTCCATTGGATTGTTTTTTGGATATTGAGTTGTATCAGTTCTTTTATATTTTGGATGGTAACCCTTTATCAGAAATGTCGTTTGCAAATTTCCTCTCCTATTCAGTGGGTTGCTTTTTAATTTTGTTGATTTTTTTCATTCACTCTGCAGAAACTTTTTATTTTGATGTATTCCCAATAGTTTATTTTTGCTTTTATTTTGCTGGTCTCACATCCTACACTTTTAAATAGAAAATTTTGCTGTCCAGAAATATGTTCCCATCTATACATTTTTATCCTACAAGGCTCTATTTTGTCTTGAAATCTCTGGAAAGCCTTTCCTGATGCATGTATGGAGGGGTTAGAAGGCTCTTTTATTATCATAGAACTGTGTTAACTCTTTGTACTCCTCTTAACCCATTATAAAGTAATCATTTCTTGTCTGTTTTCACTTACTATACTGAAAACACCTGCTCACTATGTTTTTTTTTTTAACCTAGTCCTTGGCATAGAGCACATTCCTTAAAACAATGTTGATATTGAATAATGCTATTGAAGCTCTTCATCTTCTTTTAATTCTCTGAAATAAGTAACATTTCATCAGTTTACTTCTTTCCCTTAAGATTGTTCTTTGTACCTTTTGTCTTGGTGAGAACATGTATAAAACTGTTATTGATGACAGAAGTTATCCTTGTCTTATTTCTTATGTTAACAGTGCTTCTTTCTAGTATTTCAGTATTAAATGTAATGTTGGCTGATGTATAGCTGATCAGTGATGATGAGGAAAAATTTATGTATGTGATAATGTGTTCATGGCTTTCTCCAAACCATTTAGAAAACCCTTGACATGTGCTTTATTCATCCTGAACTACTCTTTTGGTGACACACATCACTTTGTAATTACTTGTTTAATATGCTCTCAACTAGACTAAACTTCAGGAGTGGAGGTCCTGTGTCAATCTTGTTTACCACTAACTCCTCAGGATGTAGTGGTACCTGGCATATATTACATATTGAATAAATACTTATGGAATTAAGTTAAACTGGGGAATTCAACTGACTTTTATTTATTGATATAATTTACATGTTTAATTTTCTAACTCTTAGCTTGTTTTCTAAACTTTATACCTCACTGTATTTTCTTTTCACTTCTTTCCTTTTTTTCTTTTTTGGGCTATGATTTAGTTGTTTTTAACTTTTCTAATATATTGGCAGTTATTTATCTTGTTCTTAATTATAACAATGTCTACTTTCAAGATTTTTTCAAAAGAATTCCTTAACCAGTATTTTCTAATTTGAAAATAAAACTGCATCAAACTTATGGGAAAAATGCATAAACAGTGGTTATCCAACCTTTTTTCTCTCCAGCTTCTATTAAGACACCAATAAAATTTTTAAAATAAGGAATAACATGTGTCATGCCAGGAAGACCAAGAAATTTCTGCCAAATCTTGTATAGATGAGACCAGATTTCAAAAACATAAGTCTCAAAATTCACTGCATTTGAAAAAAATGATCATCTGAAAAGTAATAGAAAAAGACATTAATTGCATCTTATTAATGCCTTTCTCCTTAAATTGAAAGGGCTAGACATGAGAACAGATCATAGTATGGTTGAGAGGTAGAAAGTGGATCCTATGAGTTGTCTCATTTTTATCCAACCAATTGATGTAAAGTGGAATGACACATCTGGGTGATAACTTGACAATAATATAAACCTTAATAATGTATGTAACTGTTGGGGAGGAATAATATACATAATTGTTTGCCCTATGGTCATCTTTATTCAAAATTATTTTAAAGAAATCATAATGACTACATAGAGTTATACAAACAAGTTAGCTTTGTGTTTTTTTATAATAGGAATTGGGGAAAAAATCTAGATGTTCATTTATAGAAGTGTTTAAATACACTATGATTCATGTGATATTTTTCCTAGTGAAAAAATTGTTATTTCTAATGTTGCATCTACATTCGTTTCAGGAAATAGAATGACTTTCGTCAGGAAAATATCTTGTTGAGAACCCTTAGGCATGGATAGTGATCCTGAGCATGGGTTGGAAGAACAAAGTTGAACAAAGAGGAGATAGCTAAACTACTGTATTTCAATTTCAAACAGGACCTTTTCAATGAGAGAACAATGAAAAGAGAGAATATAACATTTTTGATTTGTCTTAAGTGAAAATATACTTGAATTGTAAGACATCACATGCAGTTTATATATGATTCCATCTTGTAAAACATTGAAATTATGCATATATGTATATGTATGTCCTCGTATTTGCACAAAATCTATTTCATATGTATGAGAAAGATGGAGTGACTGGAAGTAAACACCAAAATGATGTAGAAAAGTGATTATTACTAGAAAATAGTTATAATAGAATGTTTAGGAAGTGAGATTTTTAATCTTTTCCAAATCTTTAATGAATATGAATTCCTTTTACAATCAGCTTAAATGTTTTAAAAATGAAAAATGAAACTTGCTTTGTCTTCTCTGTTTTAGATGAAGTATGTAGCACACAATTTTGCTGTTGCACTCTTGTCCTCCTATTGGTATCATTTGTGGCTTTACAAGTTCACAAGAAATACATATTCTTATGAGATACATAGTTTTTACGGGGGCAATAAATTTCCATTAAGTTTTAAAGTCCATTAAAATATTTTAAAAATTCCATATTTTCTATTTCAATATTCATTGCCAGACTTCTTACATCATTCTTTTATTTATTTGTGTATTTGTTTATTTTTAATTATGAAATATTTCAAACCTATGGAGAAAGACAATATGTTGGTGAAAGTTTTTAACCACTATTTAGCTTTGTTAAATCTTCTTTGGTTACATTTACTTCATATGTTAAAGAAGTAAAACATTTTGATATAAATGTTAAGCCCTTGTATATAACCAGCCAAGATCTCAATCCTATCTTGTACTCCCCAGGAGTAATCACTGTCATAAATCTGCTGTAAGTCACTTGTCTATTTTTTAGAAAGTTCTTAAATATTTATAGAACCATAAAAATCTATTTTTCTGGATGTTTTAAAGCTTTGTTTATGTTTTATCACAATATATTTAACATTTTGAAATGTGTAATTTTTGATCTGGAGTATATTTTTAAGATTTATCCTTGTTATAAAATACTTTATAGATAGGTCATTTCATTTACAGTGCTTTGTGTATGTGTGTGTGTATGCATACGTGTATATAATATTATACACATATATAGATGAATATTGTATAACTGCATAGTGTGAATTTATTACAATTTATTTTTAGTTGAATAGTTAATTTATATTTTTATTATCACACTGCACATCAATGCACATATATGCATTGACATTGCTTAAAAAAATTTAACAGGTATAATTGATGTATAATGTATTAGTTTAAGATATACAACATAATGCTTTAATATTTGTACATATTGCAAGATTACCACTGCAGTAAGTCTAGTTAACATCTGTCCGTATAGTTACAAAATTTTTCTTTCTTTTAATGAAGACTTTTAAGATTTATTCTCTTAGCAACTTTCAAATATGCCATACAGTATTATTAACTATAGTCACCATGCACATTCTTTTTCATATCCTATTCTGCACTTGCAGAAATTTTGAAGAGGCATGCTGTGAAATATTTGATCTGTGGATTTGCAGCATCAGTGTAACCTCTGATCTTGTTAGGAATGCAAAATCTCATCCCCTCTCAAATACACTAAATCATAATTTGAATTCTGTAAGGTTCTCAGATAAGTTTTATGCACATTAAGCATTTGGGAAACACTGTGCGAGTGTCTTACTTAGAGTGGAATTGATAATTGCAACAATGTTGTCCAAAAAAGACATCATGTGAGTCATATGTAATTTTAAATTTTTGTGTAACCACGTTAGGAAGTAAAAAGAAATAGGTAAAATTCATTTTAGTAGTATATTTTATTTAACACCATATATCTCAAAGTTTACCATTTCAACATGTAATTAAAACTTGTTCTCAACCAGGGTTGATTTGCCTCCGAGGGCAGAGGGAGAAGGAGATAGAATCTCCAGCAGACTCCATTCTAAGTGCAGAGCCCCAGGCTGGACTCCATCCCACAACCCTGAGATAATGGCCTGAGCTGAAATCAA